AGATGGCCAATGGGAAGAGAAGAAGAGCTAGCCAATGGGAAGAGAGGAAGAGAGAGCCAATGGTGAGAGTTACGTGGAATCACTAACTCGGAGATGGGAACAGGGTAAGCAGTATAAGAATAGACCCGTGGAGAAATAGGCGAAGCCAGTGAATTCCTGTCTGGTTATGGGCCGTGACCTCAAACTCTGAGTCCCTACTGTCCTTCTCCAGGTCTCCCCGCTCTTTGGCACCATCTACGACGCGGTCTACTTGTTGGCAGGGGCAGTGGCAGGGGGGCAGGCAGCCGCAGGTGGTGGCTGGGTGTCTGGAGCAGCCGTGGCGACCCACGTCCAGGATGCCCAGATCTCTGGCTTCTGTGGAGCCCTAGGAGGAGCCAAGGATCCCTTGTTTGTGCTGCTGGACACGGACGCGAAAGGGGAACAGCTGTTTGCCACATACTTGTTGAACCCGGCTCGGGGCTCTATGCGCTCTGCTGGAATCCCTGTGCACTTCCCTCGCGGGGGATCAGGGCCCAAGTCTGACCCCTGGTGCTGGTTTGATCCAGATGACATCTGCGGAGGAGGTGAGGACAAGCACTGCATCCCTCACTGGACCAGTCTCCAGGGCCTGTCCACAAAGTGAATTCCAGCTCTGTAATTCTACTTTAAAGGTCCTTCCAGGTCCTCCTCCAACCCCCAGCTTGTACGGGACCTCTTTCTTGCTGAGCCCTAACACCTTCTTGAAGTCTTGCAAGCATCCCCACTCTCCTCTCTGAGGAATCTGGGACCTTCCCCCTGGATCCTGCCAGACACCCACTGCCCTTTCCTTGAGCCTCCGGGATTTAACATGATTGCATGTCTCCCTAGAGAGGGAGCCTCCCCTGGCCAGGGTCCTGAGCAACACTCCTCTCACTGTCCCTCCAGGAGTGGACCTGGGCGATGTCTTTTTTGGCTTTCTCTTGATGGTTGGGGTAGGACTACTTGGAGCCTTCCTGGCCCATTATGTGAGGTGAGTAAGGGAGTGAGGTAAGTAGGAGATCATTGTTCTCCACCTGTCAGAAATGAAATTGTATAGAAAACCACCCTGGCAGATTAGGCTCACTCAAAAGTAGAAGAGAGAAGCTTTTCTAGGTGGGGGAGGGACCCTGGAAGGTTGCCAGGGTCCCAGAGGATGTCTGTTTTGGGGCTGGCTGCCCTCTAGTCCTCCTCCCCTGAGCTAACGCTGTCCCTCTGCCTTGTCCTCTGCTGACCTCTTCTCGTGGATCTTGGTCCCTTTTGTGGAGATGACCCCCCTTTCCCCACCAGGTACCGGCTACTTCACATGCAGATGGTCTCCGGCCCCAATAAGATCATCCTGACTCTGGACGACGTCACCTTCCTCCACCCACAGGGGGGCAGCTCTCGGAAGGTGGGGGAGACTGCGAGCTAGGCACCAGCTGTCTTTTCCCTGGACATTGTGTTCCCTCCCTGGACCAGCCCTCACCACAGCCCCCCACCTGAGAGTCCTAATTTCTGCCCCAGGTCAGCTCTGGGGATCTGTGCAATTAACAGGCCCTGTCCTGACTACTTTCCTGGAGGGGTGTGAGGCTCCAAGAAAATGAATATGTTTGTTTTATAAACTGTAAAGCATCGCCCACTTAGGAAGCGATGGCATGATCACCTTCCCTAACTGAGATTCCCTTATCTCTGCTCTTTCGCCCCCAAACTCAGCCTGACTTCAACTCAGGACTCTGATCCCAGAGTACATTCTGATCCCTGAGCTAACGCTGTCCCTCTGCCTTGTCCTCTGCTGACCTCTTCTCGCGGATCTTGGTCCCTTTTGTGGAGATGACCCCCTTTCCCCACCAGGTACCGGCTACTTCACATGCAGATGGTCTCCGGCCCCAATAAGATCATCCTGACTCTGGACGACGTCACCTTCCTCCACCCACAGGGGGGCAGCTCTCGGAAGGTGGGGGAGACTGCGAGCTAGGCACCAGCTGTCTTTTCCCTGGACATTGTGTTCCCTCCCTGGACCAGCCCTCACCACAGCCCCCCACCTGAGAGTCCTAATTTCTGCCCCAGGTCAGCTCTGGGGATCTGTGCAATTAACAGGCCCTGTCCTGACTACTTTCCTGGAGGGGTGTGAGGCTCCAAGAAAATGAATATGTTTGTTTTATAAACTGTAAAGCATCGCCCACTTAGGAAGCGATGGCATGATCACCTTCCCTAACTGAGATTCCCTTATCTCTGCTCTTTCGCCCCCAAACTCAGCCTGACTTCAACTCAGGACTCTGATCCCAGAGTACATTCTGATCCCTTGCATTGACCTCTACCTGCCCCCTAACAGGTGGCCCAAGGGAGCCGATCGAGTCTGGCTGCCCGCAGCACTTCAGACGTTCGCAGCGTTCCCAGCCAGCCCTCAGACAGCTCCAACATTGGCCTCTTTGAGGTGAGCCTGACCTCCAGCCAGCCGAGCTCTGCTTCTGGAGGGGGAGGGATGCCCAGCCTCCAGGCAGAGAGGAGGTACACTCTCTAGGGGGGCATGCAGTCATATTACATCCTGCAGGCTCTGGGAAGAGGGGATTGGAGTCCACATGGAGGCTAGGGAAAGGTCATGGGTTTCCTCAAAGGGGAGCATCTGGGAATCCTCCCTGTCCCAGGATGGTCCCTTAGCTATGATCTAGATGAGGGCCAGTGACCCAGAGGCTGGAGCTGCATGGGGAGCTTGCTAGGACCAGCATGATGCTCACCGTGGCCACCGAGCTATCTCCTGCCCTGTTGGAGCACCTGGCACTGTCCCCTCAGCACGTCCGCCTAATTCAGATCACATTCTGGAACAGCAAGCCACAGAGGTGAAAAAGAAAGTCACAGACATTTGGACTATTTTTTTTTTGAGAGTTTTTGTTTGTTTGTTTTTGTTTTTTTTTTGCTATAGGGCGTGTGCGCTCGCCAGACAGACAGAGATTTAGAGACAGATAAGCGAGAAATCACCCCCCAGGGGGGATGGTCACACCGCAATCCCTTCTCCTCCATTCTCCTCTCGGGATCTTGGGCACACACGCACACGCGCCCGGCGTGAGTTTTAAGCCACCGGGTCCGGGACGCAAACCGCAGTTGACTACATGGGAGTCCAGCGGCACAGCCATTACGCTAACTGCTGGTTCCCCAGACATTTGGACTTTAACGTTGGGACTAGCAAACCTGAATGTGGTGCGATGGGTGGGCAGGAGACAATGAGGACGGATTCAGAGAGAGCTGAGAAAGCCCAGCTCATCAAGAGGGGAGCAGACATTTAGGGCTCCCAAGCTTCAGATCATAGAGAGAATGCAGAGGCTCCTCCAATGTCACCTAGAGATCATCACGAGCATGTCTTAGGAGGGGACGCTATTGTCATTTTGTTCTTTGTTGTATGGGACTACCTGTGCCTTAGAGAATGTTCAGTGTTTCTTGTCTCTGGTCCCAGCCACTAAATGCAGCCCCCAGCTTTTGTGACAATTAAAAATGTCCCAGGCCAACTGGTGGCATGGTGGTTAAGGGAGCTGGACCTCACATGGCAGACTGCCCAGCTCAAGTCCTAGACTTGGCGGCTTGAGGAGTATGCTGAGTACGTGTGCATTCGTGCCCAAAATCCCAAGAGGAGAATGGAGGAAAAGGGATTGCAGCATGGCCATCCCCCGAGATTTCCCTCTCTCTCTCTCTCTCTCTCTCTCTCTCTCTCTCTCTCTCTCTCTCTAGCAAGTACATACACCTTGTAGCAAATTAAAAAAAAAAAAAAGTCCCTCTATTTATTTTCAAATGCTCTTTAGGAGTCAGTACCAAACGCCCACATTCCCCTCCAGCCCAAATTCCTCTATCAATAGACGGGAGTGCCCACGTCCAGATGGTCCCCCGGCTCAGGGTACAATAACCAGGGGCCCCTTGTTCACTCCCAATGATGGCAGCAGGTCACTGAAGCAAGCTTGGGCCCATGGCAGCCCTGTGCAACGCCACAGGTCACATGCTCATGAACCAGCCCTCCAACAGCCAAGGGCAATGGGGGAACTGCCAGTACTTCACAGCTTACACAAAGCCCGGTCTGCCCGTCCTCCTTACTATCTCACGGCAGTGGACAGTAACGTGGATGACGTCTGCAGTTGTGACAGTTCGATAAGACTGACTGTGGTGGGTGCATCTGAGGTGATGAGGACGGTCTCTCTTTACACCTGGCTGGCTGTGAAGCGAACAGGCGGACGTCAAACTGCTCTCTCCTGGCTCGCTCTCGATGTTCTTTGTTACGTGGAAGTTGTATTCTGGGACAGTGGGCCAATGGAAATGAGGAGGTTCTAGAGCTCCTTGAATCATGTTATTATTATTACTATTTTAATTCCCTATAGGGCACATGCATGAGAGGGAGAGAGAGATAAGTGAGAAATTTAGCCACAAGGTTCAGGACTTGAACCTTAGTCGCCATGTTGGAGTCCAGTTCCTTAACCACCACTCCACCTGCTGGCCCCTGCATCATATTTATTTCTGTATGAATTATTTTATTTGGGGGCCAACAGGTGACGTGGTGGTTAAGGACACTGGACTCCCACATGGCTAACTGCAGTTCTAGTCCTGGACCTGGCAGCTTGTTTTCTCACTTTCCTCTCTCTCTCTCTCTCTCTTTCTGTCTCCCCTCTCTCTCTCTGTCTCTGTGTGTGTGTGTGTTTGTGTCACTCTCTGGTCAAAATTAAAAATACATAAATGAAGTTAAATAAAATAATTTTTATTTTATTTGAGAGAAAGAGAGAGAGTGAGAAGGCCAGCCACCAGGTCCAGGATTTGAACCTTAGTCAGTCATGTGGGAGTCTAGCACCTTAACCATCATGCCACCTGTTGGCCCCTGCATTACGATTTGTATTATGGCTTGCTTTTTGTTTTTTAGAGAGATTTTTGCTGTAGGGCACATGAACTCACCAGAGACAGAAAGCTAGAAATCACCCCCCAGGGGGGATGGCCATGCTGCAATCTTCCTCTGCCAGTCTCCTTTCAGGATTTTGGGCATGCACACACATGCACCTGGCATGAGTTTTAAGCTACCGGGTCTGGCACTCAGACCGCAGCCAACTACGTGGGAGTCCAGCAATGTAACCAGTACACCATTTGGTGATCCTGCATCATGGAGTTTTAAGTGACTGAGTTCTCCCTCTGTGCTGCAGGGAGACTGGGTTTGGCTGAAGAAATTCCCAGGGGAGCAACACATAGCTATCCGGCCAGCAACCAAGACAGCCTTTGCCAAGGTGAGAGTGGGCCTGTGATGGGGATGGGGTGTCCATGAGTTCCTCTCTTCCTGCCTTCTCTTTGCAGCTGGGTACAAAGGTAGGTCTCTCCTCTGTAAGTGTCCCCTCCACTCTAGAACAGGGTTCATATTGTTCTCTCTCGGACCACTAGTTCCTCCCTTTGATGTTCTCATCATAGTTTCTAACTAGATGTCCATACGTGTCTTTCTTTCTTTCTTTCTTTCTTTCTTTCTTTCTTTCTTTCTTTCTTTCTTTCTTTCTTTCTTTCCTTTCTTTCTTTCTTTCTTTCTTTCTTTTTCTTTCTTTTCTTTTCTTTTCTTTTCTTTCTTTCTTTCTTTCTTTCTTTCTTTCTTTCTTTCTTTCTTTCTTTCTTTCTTTCCTTCCTTCCTTCTTTCTTTCTTTCTCTCTTTCTTTCTTTCTTTTTTGTTAAGAGTCTCTTTCTGTCTTTCTTTCGCTTCCTTCCTTCCTTCCTTTCTTCCTCCCTCTCCCTCTCTTTCTTTCTTTCTTCTTTCTTTCTTTGTTTCTTTCTTTCATTTGATCAGAATGAGACAGAGAGAGAGAGAGAGAGAAAGTGAGAAAGCAAGCCGCCAGGGTCGGGACTCAAACCATGGTCGGCCACGTAGGAGTCCAGCACCCTTAACCACCATGCCACCTGCCGGCCCCATCATACAGTTATTTCTTACCTGCCTCCCTCCTTGGGTAAGCTAAGTGTACCCCTCCATTGTAGTCCCAGGATCCAGCACAGTGTCTGGAACATTAGAGAGATCTGATGAATGTTTATTGAAAGAAAAATAGAAAATTTTTAAAAAAATGAGTTTCTAGTTCTGTGTGGACACTTGTGCAGAGTTGACACATACCGAATGTAGAGAGAAGTTGTAAGGAGGCTATATACTGGCTTATTGTGGTTCTGCCATCTGCAGTGTCCCCATCCTCCCCAACACCACGTATGCGCAGCCCAGCCTCCTTCCTGATGCCACCACAGGAGCGCTTGGTCATAGCTGCAGAGTGGCTGAGTGGACTACCTGTGCGGTCAGTGGAATAAGTCACCATTTAACACTAGATGTTTAAAATGCAAAGAAACTCCTTCGTGGGTATAGGAACCAAAGAAAATCTATAAAGAGCACCATCAGCTGGTGAGCCCCCGTTTTCCCAGCATGCCCAGATTGAGAGGGTACACTGTCCTGCAGAATGGGTGTGGCCTCTGGAACCTTGTCCAGTCCCAACTCCCTGACTTAAGGAGGGTGGGAGTCTCAGCTGATATCACACCAAGCACAGCAGCCCCAGGCCAAGCGCCAGGCACAATCGTTTTCAGGGTCCTTTGAAAGCAGCCCAGCTTCACCCTGATACTCCTGGCAAAGGCTGTTGCATCAGGAGAGGGCGGAGGCCCCAGGAACTTCTCCAAGATGTGTTTTGCATTAAGACCTGGGCGATTCAAGGTTTTATCGTCAGTGAACCAGAATCTGCCTGGGTCCTGCTCACCAATGCAAGGTTAGGTAACATTTGTGACATTGTCAGACCTTATTCAGTATCTGCACAATGGCCTTTGCCTGTATTTTTTCCAAAGAGAGAAGTGTCTGTAGAAAAATAAAACTCCTGCATGCCCTATAGGCCGTTATTCCACATTTGGATCCTATTTTCCAAGTCTGGATACTCAGAAACAGATCTTAAATAACACCCTTTCAGGACCAGCAGTTGGTGTAATGTCTATGTCGCCAGACTCCCATGTAATCAACCATAGTTCGAGTCCCAGACCCGGTGGCTTAAACTCATGCCAGGTGTGTGTGTGTGTGTGTGTGTGCGCGCGTGCGTGCTTGTCCAAGATCTCAAGAGGAGAATTGAGGAGGAGGAATTTCAGCGTGGCCATCCCCCCGGGGGGGTGATTTCTCACTTTCTGTCTCTGTCTTTCTGGCGACTGCACACGCCCTATAGCAAAAACCTCTTTAATAATAATAATAATAACGCCCTTTCCCAGCATTGCCATCCCCACCCCTACCCACCCCCACCCCCAGGTAGAAAATGCCTGTCCACTCTCCCGCTCAGCTCCTGGAACTCCGGCACGAGAACGTGGCTCTCTACTTGGGGCTTTTCCTGGCGAGAGGAACGGATAGTCCTGCGGTCCCCGAAGAGGGCATCCTGGCTGTGATTTCTGAGCACTGCACGCGAGGCTCCCTGCAAGACCTACTCGCCCAGAAAGAAATAAAGTTGGACTGGATGTTCAAGTCCTCCCTCCTGCTAGACCTCATCAAGGTGTGTGGGGGGGTAGAGGGCAGAGTTAGGGGGGAAGTAGGAGGGGGCAGGGGAGACCCGGGGCTGAGGCTGCTTCTTCCTTCACCCCTTCCAAGGGAATGAGGTATCTGCATCACCGAAGAGTGGCTCACGGGCGGCTAAAGTCACGGAACTGCGTGGTGGACGGGAGGTTTGTGCTCAAGGTCACCGACCACTGCCACGGGCGACTGCTGGAAGCACAGAGGGTGTTACCAGAGCCTCCCAAGGCTGAGGGTAGGAGTCCCGAGCTGCCTCCCGCGCACACGAGCATCCATCCCCCGGATCCCCATTATTTCAAGGGCCCATCCCTTCGCCATTCTCTCTGCCCCCGCACTCTCTCCGTTCCACGCCCACTGGACAAGACTCCTGCTACAGAAAAGGTCCCGTGACCTCTGAGAGATGCGAAGGGAGTGCTCCATGGCTGGGGAGGCGGGAGCTTGCTAGAGGGTGGGACCGGTGCCTGAGTTCCAGCGAGGATCCCCGGAAGCATGTGGGGCTGTACTGGGGGCGGGGCTTGTGCCCAGCGGCCGTTTTCCCTGGGCCCCGCCTATCCGAAGGGCGGGGCCCCGTTGTCGGCGGCCCGGAAGGGCTTTGGGTTTCGGATCTCCCCTGGGGTAGTTGCAGGGCTGCAGGGCCAGAGTCAGGCTGCGGGGTTGATGAGTGTCTAGGCGCAAGTTTGGGCTTCTCAGTGGTGGTGCTGGGGGGTGTCCCCAGCACCCCCGCGGCCCTCCGCGTGCCCACCCCGCTTCCCCATCTCCAGACCTGCTATGGACAGCCCCGGAGCTGCTTCGGGACCCGGCCCTGGAGCGCCGGGGCACGCTGCCGGGCGACGTCTTCAGCTTGGGCATCATCATGCAGGAGGTCGTGTGCCGCACCCTCCCCTACGCCATGCTGGAGCTGAGCCCCGAGGGTAAGGCCGCTCTCGCTTGGAGTTTGGGCCAGAAAGGCGCCCTGAAGTTAGGATAGTGCCGGGTCAGGTGCAGCCTCGCTTTTGCCCTAACTCCAAGCTCAGGCATGAGACTTAATTAGGCGGGGACTGGGAGTTAGCGTAATGGCTATGTCGCTGGACTCCCATGTAGTCGACCACAGCTCGCGTCCCGGACCCGGTGGCTTAAACTTACGCCGGGCACATGTGCGTGTGCACCCAAGATCCCGAGAGGAGAATGGAGGAGAAGGGATTGCGGAGTGGCCATCCCCCCTGGGGGGTGATTTCTCGCTTATCTGTCTCTCTGTTTCCCTCTGTCTGTCTGCGGAGCATTAGAATGAGGGGGTGGGGATTTGGGACCAGCAGGTGGCTGGTGGTTAAGGTGCTGAACTGCCACATGGCCGACCTGGTTCAAGTCTTACACTCCAGGGCTTGAATCATGCCTGGCACACGGAGGATAATGGAAGAGAAAAGACTGTGGGTGACCATCCCCCCAGGGGGGTGATTTTTCTCACTTCCCGAACTCTTACTGTCTCTCTCTGGGGAGTGCATGGGCCATATAAGAAAATCTTTTAAAAAGAAAAAAAGAGAGAGAGAATGGGGGTGAGGGAGGTTATCAGGACCCAGACCTCAACATCTTCTTCTGTTCTGACCCTGGACCCAATCTGCTTCCCTGACCAATGGAGCAGGTTCCACTCTAGGTCTCAGGCCTCACAGGGAGGCAGCAGGAGGAGGCGAGCAGGAGTAAGAGGGCACTCTCAGCTAGTTCAAATCCATCACCTATCAACTGTAGGACTCCAAGCAAGCACCCACCCCCCTTTTTTTTTAAGAATTAATAAATTTGGGAACAGGAGTTAGCGGAATGGCTATGTCGCTGGACTCCCACATAGTCGCCCGCAGTTCATGTCCCGGACCCGGTGACTTAAAACTCATAACGGGCGCGTGTGCATGCATGCCTAAGATCCCGAGAGGAGAATGGAGGAAAAGGGATTGCAGCATAGCCATCCCCCTTGGGCACTGGGTGGTGATTTCTCACTTTCTGTCTCTCTGTCTCTCTCTGTCTTGTCTGGTGAGCGCACATGCCCTATAGCAAAAACCTCTCCAAAAAAAAAAAGGAATTAATAAATTTAATTAATTAACTAATTAATTAATTTTACTTAGACCAGATAGAGACAGGGTGAGAGAGAAAGTGAGAAAAGAAGCTGCTAGGCCCAGGACTCGAACTGCAGTCAGCCATGTGGGAGTCCAGTGCCCTTAACCACCATGCCACTTGCTGGTCCACTTTCTTCTTTTCAAAGAATTATTTTATTTAACTTTATTTATTTATTTTATTTGTTTATTTTATTTTTATCAGAGAGGGACAGAGTGAGAGAGAGGGAGGGAAAATGAGAAAGCAAGCCACCTTAACCACCATACTACCTGCCAGCCCCCACTTTTTATTTATTTATTTATTTTGCATGCAATAAATGTTAGATTCTTTGCCTGTGTCACCTCTTACTGGGTTCAGGGTCCTCTTGTTAATCCCAGCAATCCCTTTCCACACTACACTCCTTCACCCACTGAAGCTCTGATTTAAAGGAAACTGTACTGTATCTGCACCCACACACGCACACACACACACACACACACACACACACACACACACACGGGCTTCAACCATCAGGCCAGGGTCAGAGGTGGCTTACCCCTCGTGGTTCCTCATGCCTCCAGAGGTGGTGCAGAAGGTGCGGAGTCCTCCTCCACTGTGTCGGCCCTCGGTGTCCATGGACCAAGCGCCCATGGAATGCATCCAGCTAATGAAACAGTGCTGGGCAGAGCAGCCAGAACTTCGGCCCTCCATGGACCGCACCTTTGAACTGGTCAGGGGCTGGGGGTGGGAAAAGGCTGGGCTGGCCCCTGGGACCCCAGATACTTGTCAGCAAGCTGAGAAGGCCGCAGGCAGGGGGACCGGCAGAACCTCTGACCTTCTAGCTACCTCCTGAGGGGTAAACTGCAGAGGTCTTTTGGTGGGAGGTGAAGCTCAGGATGGGAAATCATTCAACTAAATTCAAATAACACTGATAGAACCAAGCATGTGCTTGGCTGACCGTGACAGAAAGATCCTGGGACTCCAAAGGCTAGGCTGGCCCCAGTGCCCTGTTAATTACTGGCTGAGAATAAGTGACCTCTGGGAGCGCTTGTTTCCCATATGCCTCCTAACAGTATCTGACATTAGTGTCCAGCATGCTGGAGGTGCCTGATACGTGCAAGATGAATAGTGGCGTGGAAGGGCTGAGGAGAGGATCGAGGATGTACGGCCCCCTGGGAGGGACATGGCAGCCAAGGTCTTCAGCTGCTTTTTCAGCTGCCTTCTCCTCCTAGTTCAAAAGCATCAATAAGGGCCGAAAGACAAACATCATCGACTCGATGCTGCGGATGCTGGAGCAATACTCCAGTAATCTGGAGGACCTGATCCGGGAGCGCACGGAGGAGCTGGAGCTGGAAAAGCAGAAGACAGACCGTCTGCTCACACAGATGCTGCCTCCGTGGGTGCCAGTGGGGCGAGGGGCAGATGGGGAGGGCAGCTGGAGCCCAGCCAGACAGGGGTGGCCTCAGGTGACCTCACTGCCTGCCATCCTAGGTCCGTGGCTGAGGCCCTCAAGATGGGAACACCTGTAGAACCCGAGTACTTTGAGGAGGTGACACTGTACTTCAGTGACATCGTGGGCTTCACCACTATCTCAGCCATGAGTGAGCCCATCGAGGTGGTGGACCTGCTCAACGACCTCTACACACTCTTCGATGCCATCATCGGTTCCCACGATGTCTACAAGGTCGGTGTGTAGAGACAAACCCTCTGGATCTTCAGTTCGGCTTCACCAGCCTCCAGTCCAGCCTTTCCTGCTCAGCCTCCAGCCCAATCCTGTTTCCCAGCCTTCGGGTCCTACCTCTTCTTCCAGTTCCCATCTGGGTCCGACTCACAGCCTGGCTCCTGGATGTCTACACTCATCCTGGTTTGGGTCTCCTGACAAGTGGCTTTGTGTATTGGGAGAAGGGGGCTCATACTGAATTTGCACAATTCCTTCCCCCAGGTGGAGACAATTGGGGACGCCTATATGGTGGCCTCCGGGCTGCCGCAGCGGAATGGGCAGCGGCACGCGGCAGAGATCTCCAACATGGCGCTAGACATCCTCAGTGCCGTGGGCACTTTCCGAATGCGCCACATGCCCGAGGTGCCCGTGCGCATCCGCATAGGCCTGCATTCAGGTAACCTCCCGGCCCTCCCAGGCTCCAGCCCGTTTCCCGTTTTTTAGAGATTTTTGTGATAAGGCGCCTGCACCGGCCAGAGAGAGAGAGAGAAAGTGCGAGATCACCCCCTAGGGACAATGGCCTCACAGCAATTCCTTCTCCTCCATTCTCCTCTCGAGATTTTGGGCACGCCCGCACACACGGCCAGGCCTGAATTTCAAGCCCCTGGTCTGGGACAGGGTCTGGGTCCCAGATTGGAACCGAAGGCGGCCATGGGGAAGTCCAGCGCCTTAGCCACTACACCTGCTGGCCCCCATCTCCCTGTTTAGGGAGCAGCTTCAGATGGCTCCCTACCCGCGATGGCTCTATTTAAGATGGGTTTCAACTGTAGGATGGGTTTATCCGGAGGTAACCCCATCGTTAAGTCGAGAAGCGTCTGAACTGAAGATGGTTCGACTTAAAATTTTTAACGTTACACATGGGTTTTTCTAGGTGTAACCCCACTGTAAGTCGAGGACCATCTATATAAGAGACAAACTCGTGGAGTGGTGGTGGTTGGGGGGGGCTTGCCATGAAGACAATGCCTTTGAGAGTATTTATTTGGGGAGCTGTTGTAGCTTATGGGGCGCTAACGTCCCCCGAGACGCTAGGTGCCCCCTGAGCTGCCGGGCATACACCGCTTCATCCCAGGCCCTGCCCATCCGCCCACCGCGCTTCTCCGCAGGCCCGTGTGTGGCGGGCGTGGTGGGTCTCACCATGCCGCGGTACTGCCTGTTTGGGGACACGGTCAACACCGCCTCACGCATGGAGTCCACCGGGCTGCGTGAGTGTGATGGGGTCCCGCGGGGTTGGCAGAGGTGGGCGGGGTGGACAGCGGTGGGCGGGGTTAGAGGAGGTGGCCGGGGTTAGAGGAGGTGGGTGGGGTTAGAGGAGGTGGCCGGGGATGGGTGGGGAGGCCGGGGGAGGCGGAGGAGGCCGGGGATGGGCGGAGCCTG